AAAACTTCTGCACAGCAAAGTAATCAACAAAACTAAAAGGCAACCTGTAGAATGGGAGAAGATATTTGCAAATGATATATCTGATGAGGAGTTGGTATCCGAAATATACAAAGAACTTATAAAACTCAACACCCCAAAAAACAAATAATCCAATTAAGAAATGGGCAGAAGAGGGGCACCTGGGTGGCTCAGTCGGTTAAGCAGCCAACATTGGCCCAGGTCATGATCTCGCGGTTTGTGAGTTCGAGCCCCGCATCAGGCTCTGTGCTGATAGCTCAGAGCCTGGAGCCTGCTTAGGTTCTGTGTCTCCCTCTCTCTCTGCCCCTCCCCTTCTCACGCTCTGTCTCTCTGTCTTTCAATAATAAATAAATGTCAAAAAAAAAATTAAAAAAAAAAAGAAAGAAAAGAAATGGGCAGAAGACATAAATAGACATTTCTCCAAAGAAGACATAACAGATGGCTAACAGACACACGAAAAGATGCTCATCATCACTGATTATCAGGGAAACTGCAAATCAAAACTACGGTATCACCTGACACCTCTCAGAATGGCTCAGATCAACAACACAAGAAACAATAAGTGCTGGTGGTAATGTGTAGAAAGGGAAACTCCCGTGCATTACTGGTGGGAATGCAAACTGGTGCAGCCACTCCGGAAAACAGTTCAGAAGTTCCCCAAAAAGTTAAAAATAGAACTACCCTATGATCCAGTAATTGCACAACTGGGTATTTACCCAAAGAATACAAAAACACTAACTCAAAGGGATACATAGACTCTGATGTTTATAGTAGCATTATTTACAACAGCCAAGATATGGAAAGAGCCCAAATGTCCATCAACTGATGAGTGGATAAAGAAGATGTGGTGTGTATATATATATGTACACACACACACACATATACACAATGGAATATTATTTCGGCCATAAAAAAGAATGAAATCTTGCCATTTGCAATTAACATGGATGGAGCTAGAGTAGAACACTAAGCAAAGTAATTCAGTCAGAGAAAGACAAGTACCATGTGATTTCACTCATATGTAGAGTTTAAGTAAAAAAAACAAATGAGCAAAGGGAAAAAGAAAGAAAGGCAAACCAAGAAACAGACTCTTAACTGTAGAGAACAAATTGATGGTGACCAGAAGGGAGGTGGGTGGGAGATGGGTGAAACTGGTGATGGGCATTCAGGAGTGCACTTGTCATGATGAGCACCAGGTGATTAAAATAAAATTAAATATCAAAATTAAAAACGGAGTACTGCTCAAAAAAAAGTTTTTAATTCCACTATTGTTAACAGACAGTGTTATATTATTTTCAGGTGTTTCTTACAGTGGAAGTATAAATAATTGATTAAAGACCTTTGTTTTAGAATATAAGCATTTCTTGCTATAAATTGCTCTCTACACAAAACTTCAACTGCATGTGTTTTGTTATTTCATTTTTATTTTCTTAATAAAAAAATTCCCCTTCTGATAAAAATAAATAAAATAAATGCTTGGTAGAATTCACCTGAAGCCATCTGGTCCTGGACTTTTGTTTTTTGGGAAGTTTTTAAATTACTGATTCAATTTCATTACTTATAATCTATCTACTCAGATTTTCTATTTCTTTGTGATTCAGTCTTGGAAGATTATGTGTTTCTAGGAACTTATCTTTTTTTTTTTCTTCTAGGTTGTAATGTTGTTTTTGTTGTTATTTTTTATTCCTGGTCATTTTCTTTGCTCTAGAAGTCCATTTTGCATATTAAATAGCCATTCCAGTGACCTTTTGATTAGTGTTTGCATGTTATGCTTTTTCTTTTAATGTATCTATAGCATTATATTTGAAGTTGCTTATAGATGACAATTAAGTCAAATTTTCTTTTAACCCAGTCTCACAAATCTCTGTCTTTTCAAGGATGTGCTAAGACCACTTACATTTAATTCAATTATTGTTTAGATGTAGACCTACGATTTGTTTGTCCCTTGTTCCCCTCTTTTAGAAATCTTGTTTATTCTTTCTTTTCTTTTTCTTTCTGGATTTTTTTTTTTTTTGGTGTTCTCTCTGAAAACAGAATTCTGGGCTGACAGGTTTTTTCCTTCAATGCTTTAGAAATGCCATGCCACTTCCTTCTGGACTCCACAGTTTCTGGTGAGAAATCTGCAGTCATTTAAACACTGCTCCCCTCCAGGTCATACATCATTTTTCTCTGGCTGCTTTCACAGTTTTTTCTTTCTCTATTTCTCAGCAGTTTATGTGTCCTGGTATGGATTTCTTTGGGTTTATCCTTTTTGGGATTCATTCAGCTTCTTCAATCTATAGGTTTGTCTGAATGTCACCAAACTTGGGAAGTTTTCTGCATTATTTCCTCAAATATTTTCTCAGCACTGCACTCCTTCTCTTCTGCTTCTGGGACTAATGACACAAACAGTAGACCTCCGTGCCGTTCCACAGTCCGTGAAGCTCTGTTCATCTTTTTCTAAGTTCTGCTTAGATAGTTCCAGGTATTTCAAGTTTCTGTCTCCTCTTCGTACTCCCTTTCTTCATGAACACTTCCCACTTCAACATTTGTTTCAAGAACGTTTATAATTGCTTGTTGGATCATGTTTACAATTGCTTCTTGAAAGTCTTTGTGAGATCATCCCAACATCTATTTTGTCTTGTCATTGTTGGTGGTCTTTTTCCAACGCAAGCTGGCATTTTTATTGTTTTTCATTTGAGGGGTATTTGGATTACACTGGTTGGACTGCATTCGTCTGGATTTTGAATACCATGAGACCCTACATCTCTTTAACTCCTATGGTGAAATGCTGATGTTTCCTTTAGCAGACAACTAACCTGGTCAGATTCAAGCTGCGAGTTACAATCCACCTTCTAAGAGCTGTGGCTACAATGTCAGTCTATCCATCAGCTCAGTTCTCAGCTTATCATGTGCTAATTAGGATCAGATCCATACACACACAGGACGAGGGTAAGCCCAGGAGTTCATAAACAACTTCATGGGATTCCTCCCCAAGCTCCTCCTTTTGCATGATATCTCAGATCCATGACACCCCTTTCCAGTCCCCTGAAACCACCCACTTGAACAACTGAGAGGAGCAGAGCCCAGTGGCAGGAGAGAAGAAAGTGAAAAGAGCAATGATTTTGATTTGTATCCTTTGTCCTCCGACTTCTGGCTCCACCCAGCAGAAAGCCTCTCCACTTCCACTGCGTTGGTTCCTGTTGCTGCTGCTGCCCCTCGGAAATGTTGGGGGTGGGGGGTGGACAGGGAGGACCCCACACCATGCTCTGTGCTTTAGGAATTTGTTCACTCTCTTGCTCTGCAAGGAGACTAGCGGGCATCTCCCGGAGCCTCCCTGTCTGCACCCAGCACTCACTCCCAGGCTGCACACTGCCCTGACCTCAGGCCAGGAGGCACCAGAGGGAAAGGCTGTAAGCTCACCACCGGCCCAGGAATCCCTGGAACTCTGGCTCACTTCCCCCGTCCCCAACTTACTTCCCAAGTCTCAAAGAGCTGTGCCGGCACGCGGCTAGGCTCAGTGAAGGGCTGCTATGGTGTGCAGACTCCATGTCACCCAGACTCTCTATTTCTTATCGTGAGTCAAGTAGTGCGTTCAAAAGGTGCACGACCGTGAGGTCCAGAACGGAGCCACCCTCCTCCAGAGAGAACCTGCGTGCTTCTGCTTGAGCACACGGCACATGCTCCAACATCACCCCAATGCAGGCGCCATGCTGAGGTGGCTCCTTTCTCTGCCTGGCCTGTCACTTCTCCAGCAGGACTCCGCGCCTTCTCTCCAGCCTGCTGAAGCTTCAGCCCTCAGCCTCTCAGTCACCTTTCAGGAATGGGAATTGCCTCCAGGGGAGCAGGGCCAGCACCGGGCTACCCCACGTCCTGGGTCTCCACCCTCCCCTGGACCCTGGCCTGATCTGCACTGCCTTTGATGCCCAAGGACCTTCGAGCTGACGATCATCCAGCTTCTCTCATCCTCAGTGGATGGTGCATCCCAATGAACAAATCTGCTGTCCCTGACAGTAGCTACTTTTTTTTTTCAAATAAGTAAGGAAACTGGCTCCCAAAGGTTCTCTGAGATCAGTGAACAGATGAGGGAATTAGGGTTTAAGTTGGGCACGTCCTATGAATCAATTCACCACAATGAAAACTGACTTTATAAGGGTTTTTCTCCCTCTAGTTAACTGGGTGTGTGTGTATTAAATCAAGCATATTCTTATTTTAAAACTGAGCCACTGCAGACAATGCTGCTGTTCCCCTGACCCCTCATCCAGGGTGGGCCAGGTCCTTTACCTGAGGTCACCAGGTCTGTTTATGGCTGTGCTGGGATTCTGTTATCAGGCTGACCTTTTCCCCATGGGAACAAACCTTCAGAAGTATAACAGAAGTCACTGGGAGCTCATGATATAAAATGAAAAATGATTTACAAATATTTTTCACCCATGTGCCATAAAGTTAGATCAAATTACATAACTGGCAACTTTCTCCTGCCAGCTTACAGGGAATTAGACCTTAATCTGTTCAAGTGATTATTTTCAGCCTCCCAAGGGACCATGGAATAAGGATTTAACGATCGCCCCAAGGGCAAGCTTGCTGGCATCTGTCCCCACACGGCCAAATCGGTATTAGTTCTCCTTGGGGACAATTTAAAATCAGAGTCTTAGTACTGAAAGGGACTTTCCCACTCCACCCCCAGAGTAAGCGGAGTAAGGAGGAGAGTGTCCTACAGGTGGGCCACACAGAGGGAAGAAATAGGAGGTGGGAGCCATCGCCCACAGCGGTAAGAGAGAGCAAGGTCAGAGTCGCTGGGCACACAGCTGAGCGGCCGGGTGCGTCACCTGCACGAGGACAGTAAGGGCAGCCCGAGCCTGAGCGCCACCTTGACCAGGTGGAAAACCAGGTGGACTTGATGAGGTCCACGAGCCATGCTGGGCTTTGGGGTGACGGTGCGGGCTGAGCCGGCATGCCGAGTGGCCAAGCTACCGGGGAGAAGAGCTACCGGCTGCTCTTACCTTGGCTGGCTTCTGGCTGCACGGAGCCCAGAGGAAGTGGCGGTGAAGGCTCAGGGGCCTCTGCCGCTGGGTGCTCAGCCACCGGGCAGATGATAAACCACCTCTTGCCCGTGTGCAGAACTACAGAGCAGAGCAAAACAGCAGGAGAGACAGAGTGAATTTCTCCCATGGCTGACAGGACCCCTCGCCATTGGCACCAGACCTGCTCTTCTCACACCAGTGGGGGGCATGTGCAGCCCGCCTGGGGGGACTCCTCCCTGGAAGCCTGGGGCTCACACAACACCTTCAACACGGGCTTGTTCCCAGAACGTTGGCAATGCCATCAACAAAGGGGGGACAGAGGCAGCGGCCAGTCCATGCTGTGCTCAGTCCCCACCAGGGCCACACCCAGCTCCTCAGGGTCAGCTATCCTTGCACCTGGGGGTGCTCACCACACCCGCCAGCAAACCCCCCAGTTTCACGGCCGAACCCCCTTGTGATATGCTCAACACGGTCTTATCAAACGCCCAAGAGACAGAGAAGGGACAAGGACAGAAATGCCTCTTCCAGAGGTCGGTCAGGATGGCAGGTGCGGGCCCAGAAGGCAGACGTACCGTTCTGCTGATACACGGGGGCGTTTGCTTGGGACTGGCGACTCTCCTGGGAGGTAAAGGAGCAGACATCAGCAGACCGCGTGGAACAAGAACCTCCCGCAGAGCCCAGCGTGGCCGCCCAAGGGGCCTCCGGAGCCCGGTCGACCCTCCCTGAGCCGCAAGCGCCCACCCTCCGGGCCACCTCACCCAAAGCCGCGTGACCTGCAGATCCTCCAGCAGCCCGGCCCTCCCAGGACTCACCTCCCCAGTGCCCAGGCCACAGGTGCTGAGGTGCGGCGGGCTCACCCCGGGGTCGGAGCCCCGGTCGACGTCCGTGTCCTCACTGAGCATATCCTCCGCCTTGTCCATGACGTCCTTCATCTGCTCGATGAACGTCTCTCGTTCGGCCTGCAGGATGAAGTCGTGCTCCACCTGCAACGTCACAGGCAGCCCTGTTCAGGGGGACACGCCGTGGGCCTCGCCGCACGAGATATTCCCTGACGGATGCACTTCACTTCCGCCCCGCACTCAGCCCAGGGGCGGCTCAGTGACAGCAGCAGCGCCCCCAGGGGACAGCGGAAGCAGGAGATGGCCTTCCTATGTCAGGGGAAGACACCTGGCCTCACCATATAGGTGGCGATCTCGTCAGGCGCGTCCCCGTCTAGGTCAAACTTGAATGTCACCATCTTGTGGTTGTGCGTCTCCAGCTGGCACTCCACCATCTTGTCGCCCGTGTTGCATACCTGCAGGACACGGGGGTGGTGAGACCACGAGCAGGCCGCGTCCAGGGAGCCCTGTGCCCACAGGCCTGCCCTGCCAGGCCACTCACATTCAGGATGGTGAGCCGGGGGCGGCTGGCTCTCTCCTGGCGGGAGCGCGCACGCGTGGACCTGCGGTGATGTTTCCGGGCAGCCCTGCCCTCCAGCCTCCCACCACCAAATGCACCCTCACAGCTGTCGCTCATCTCTCTTCCAGAGGGAACGTCGGAGCCTCCGTAGCTGTGTGAAAACCCAACGTTACAGCCACCCGCAGACAGTCCTCACGCGAGATCAGGAAATAGCCAGAAAAGCTAGAGGATGTGAGGCCAGCCCCGATCCCACCTTCAGGGCCCCCAGCCCCCTCTCCCACCGTAAGGCCTGTCCTCAGTGGCACTGGGGTCGTAGGGCTGTCTGACACGGGACCTCTGTCCTCTCTGACTCTTGATCTGTGACTCAGGCCCAGCTGGCTCACGGAACACATGAGGATTAAGAAAATCCTCCTCTGTGCCTCAGTTTCCCCATCTGTGCAACAGGAACTCAACAACCACCTGGGGCCATAGCAGGGTTTGAGGAGGGATTGCACAGCACTGCCTGGGGCTGGCACACCAGGACACATGAGCACTTCCTGCATCTGGTTCCGTCCCCCAATGTGACAAGCTCTATGGGTAGGCAAAGACAGGTGGCCAACAGCCACAGAGTCGGGAGGCTGGGGGCGTGGGCCACACTTGGCCCACTCTTTGCCCACTGCCTCCTTTTCTGGTACATGCTAGGCACCACAGACAGGTGCCAGGACCTGGACCCAGACCCTGGAGGACTTCAGAGAAGCTCCGCCAGGTCAGGCTCGGAAACAGGTGACGCTGCTAGATGCTGTGACCGGCGAGGGCGAGGGTGGCAGGCCTCGAGGTCTGTGTGCAGCCGCAGTGCGGGAGGGTCTGGGTGGACATGGGAGCCCGCGGGCCAGCTGGGCCGGTACCTGTCACAGCTCTGTGGGGCGCTGGGCTGCTTCTCCTGAGAGGACTGCTCCTGAAACAAGACCACGGACAGGAGGACGGGTTATACTGGCTTCCCCACCACACAGCTGCACACGGCCTGCTGTCCCCCCACCTCGCCGGCCCAGGAAGCTGACCACACAAGGTGGCAGGCTCGAGAGCTTCCGT